AAAGTCCCAGAAAAAGGACAAAATTGGAAGGAGTCAGGCCTCACAGAAGAAGGTGAGGTCCAGCCCATGGGATAGCAGAGGAGCTGGCCACTATGCCCAGACTGCAGCCAGAGCACCGCCTCCCGACGTGCAGTGTGGGCGCAGTGGAGTCAGGGACAGCTGCGGAGCTGGCTGGGGGCTTGCAGAGGAGGCTGGCAGAGCACGGGGTCCCTGCACAGGGACTCTGGGGTCCGCATTGATAGGGATGTGGGAAGGTCATGGCCGGGCCAAGGCTGCAACGTCACAGAGGAACAGCTGGGGCAGGGCTCCACCATATGTCCTCACACACACACAGCCAAGTAGCCTCCCTCCCACACCGCCTCCATCTTCCTCCCACAATGTCCCCCCATTACGCTCTACTGAGAAAGCCTGACGTTGTGCTCACTTGAAAGAAGAAATGTCTTTTTTTCAGAAAGCACATATGCAAGCATGCGTTCGTCACTGAGGGGCAATTAATTGATAACTGACCAATCTCCCCACTGCTAAGTGGAAAGGTTCACAACTGCCATGACCTTGGCAGACACAGGTTTAACTCCCAGTCCCACCACTAACCAGCTGTGTGACCTTGGGCAAGTTACTTAACCTCTCTGTGCCTCAGTTTCCTCTTCTGCAAAATGAAGAGAATAACGTCCACATCAGGACCTTTATGTGGAATAGAGGTAACGACAGCAAGCTCCTAGCACAGTGCCTGGCTCGTAACAAGTGGTGGCAATAATTAAATTAGGAGCACTCTGCAGTCCTACTGCCTTATTCCAGTTTTTCAAAACTGTGAAGGTATCAGATCACATAAATAATTTATATGAAACTGCACTGAAATGTGGAAACAGCTATAAATACCTGTTAATCATCTCTTTCCACAAAGCATCTGTTCTCAGTATTTGGGTGCCAGTATGTCAGCTGTCTTATTTTCCCCACTTTCTCCATCGCCTCTGTGGCTAACGAGGGCCTTTTTCTTAATTTTCTTCTCATTGACTGGCAGGTGTGTGCCTTTACTTTTCTCAGCATAGGTCTGTTTCTCAGGAAGTCCCTGTGCTATGTGATCACCCCAGCCACGTTCACAGAATAAGACACTGTGCCCAGATGCACAGAAGAAGGGGCCGGCACAGGGGAGGCATGGCTCACGGCAGCCCTAGCATGGTAACTGTGGTTCCTGGAGCCCAAGGGTGGGGACCTGGGGTGGGACAAGGGAATTCTCGAGAAGTTTTGTACAGCTGCCACTGCAGTACTTCTCTCTCACCCCACATTGCCTAAACTAGCTCCAGTGTTCTCAGAATTAACTAAAACAATTAAGAAGTTGGAATTATTCTGGGGAATGGTCCATGATGGTCCACGGGCAGGTACAAAGGAAAAGAAAACAGCTCACCTCAGGGAGTTTGCTGGTTTTGAGAAAGTGCCCTGCCAGCGGTTGCCTCTGCTCAGTGTGAAGGTCCGGCAGTCAGGGCGAGAGTGGGGAATGCTCCTGATGGCCAGGAGTCAAGGCTCTGTTGCTGTGTTTCAGGCCTAAGAGCAGGGGTGGGGATGGGAGAGGCAGACGAAGCGCAGGGAGGCCTGTGCTCCAGGAAGCAGGGAGAGTTGCAGCCCGCTCTGCTCGCCCCTTCCCCTTGAAGAGGAAGAGGTTCCTCACTCTTATCTTTTCCGGGAAACACCAAAGAGCAGGGAACCTTGGACCCCCCCGCTCCCCTACCGCGCTGCACACAGGGCAGCACCCATTCCCTGGCTCAGGTGTGGGGGGCACCAGCCCTGGACAGGAAGGAGTGGCTGGTGATGGTCCCCGAGTCAGTCTAGGAAAAATACATGTGAGCTAGTGAATCGCCTCTGCCCTTGGTACACTTCTGGGTCAAGGCAAGATTGCCTGCTTAGGATTCTCTCTCCCTCTCTCTTTGCCCCTCCCCTACTCAGTCATGTGAAAAGCAGAGGAGTTTCCTCACCCCCACAGATCTTCAGGCAGACAGAAGGCGTTTCGGGGAACCAAATTCACTTCCCAGGACCTTTGCAGGGACATTTGTGTTGTCCAAGTGGTCCTTTTGCCCAAAGCAGCCGGGAGTGAAGCCATGGGGCTCCTCAGCCAGACCATGAATTTCTCAAGAGGACCATGGATCAACTATATTCCGAAATTCGCCCTTTGTCTCCACTCCTAGCACAACCTTGTAGTGCCAGGTGCTCCAGAGGGCTTGCTCTTTAGATGACGGACAGCTCCCTGAGCCTGCGGAGGCTGAAGGCCTGCCATGGCCTTGGGGGTGCCCCCACTCGCCCCTAAAATCTGGGCTGCATAGCCAGGATGCCCTCAGCTGGCCACACAGTTTGGTTTAAGGGTCTTAAGTGCTCACGTAGCCCACTCTGGACTGGGAGGCATGGGGGAGGGGGGTGGAATGAGGAGGACGCAGGCCCTCAGGACAGTCACAGGTCTGCAGAGAGCATGGCAGGTGGCAGCTGGAGCATGGGCTGGCTCAGTTACGTGGCCCCTCACAATCCTGAGAGCTTTTTTTAAGTTTATTTATTTATTTTAAATGAGAGAGAGGGAGCATGCATGCATGTGCACGCACCTGAGTTGGGGAGGGGCAAAGAGAGAGGGAGAGAGAGAATCCCAAGCAGGCTCCAGGCTGTCAGCACAGAGCCCATGGCGGGGCCCGAACTCACAAACCGTGAGTTCATGACCTAAGCTGAAATCAACCAACTGAGCCCCCAGGCGCCCCAAGCCTGAGAGCTTCTAGGCAGGATGGGAAATGTTCTCTACCTCCTTCTGTACCATCGTTCACCAAAGCTAAGTACCATCGACTGTAAGAGGCACCTGAGTCCAGACATGTGAACATGGGAAAGAATGTGTGGCTTAACACTGATGAAATGTGGCGGAGCCAGAAGGGCTGAGCATTCTGTTGTCTGAGAGGCAATGTGAGCTAACAAGTGACAGAAGACAGAATGTCTGCCTGACCCTCTCGGCTATGCAGGAGCCCAGCCCCAGGCACCTTACCAACTGCCCTCATGGACAATGGCATGGGAACCCTGAGTGGGGTGGTGACCCCAGGGTCCCAGAACTGACTGAGATGGCCAGCAAGAGCACAGGCCAAAATTCTAAGCATTTTATTCTGGGGCTTTGATGCCTAGGCCTCGCAGGGTTAGCCGATTCCTAGAAACAGCATTTGCTTCACCTGCTAGCGCACCTTTCACATGCAAACCCACCAATCCAGCATCCACAGCCCACCCTTCCTCTATCAGTGATCACACTCAAGGCCACTGTCCACCTCCCTCATCTCAGAGCCAGGTACCAGACAGGTAGGGATGGTCCCTATGCCCCAGGGCCTGCTGAAATTATTCACAGCAGTCAATCCTAAGCCTGTTTACCTAGCCCCACTCATGCCTTCCCACAGGAAAAAGAAATAAAGGCTCTTGCTCCTGTCCCTCTCCCTCCTGAGTGACCCCTGGTGCTTCCCCACGTGGCCCCTATAGTGCACGCCCCTTAGGATCAGCAAGTATAACGGTCGTTTCATCAGCAATCAGCTCCCTATCTGTCAGCCTCCCGACACCTGCATCATAAACCTACTGAAAACAGCTAAGCCTGGTCCTCACGGCTGCTGCTTTTTCGTTGTATTCAAGGACTCCTGTGTAATCCGAATCCTAACCCAGAGTAGCAGTGTGTGACACGGTGTGGTAACTTCAGGTCTTGCCAGTGTCTCCCATACGCCTTCCCTTCTCTACGGGCAACCCCTGCCCGTGGATTCCTATAGGAACCCTGCACACTTTCTCCTGGTCCAAAACTGGTCTCAGAAAGGGATCTGACCGCATATGTCAATTGAGTGTGTAAAGCTGCACGTATTGCTTCCTATAGGAACGTTTGCATTATGACAAGGAAGAACCTTATGTCATGCTGGGAATTGTTAATTGTTGAAATTCGGGCGTCCCAGTATCTTGAAATCACACCTCACCTGCTCATAAATTAGACCCTCTAGTGGGAATTATTTTAACGGGTGTGAATTTATTTTATTTTGATTATCCTACTCCGTGCTAGGCATGCTGCTCTGCAATGTATTATTTGTGAGACATGGAAAATTTCCAAACATCATGAAAATGGAGGGAACAACATGAACCCCAGTTCCAACAGTCCAATTTTGTTTATCCTCCCCCAACACTACACAATTATTATTATGTTTTAGAGGAGAAAGAAAGAGAGTGTGAGTGGGGTGTGAGTAGAGGAGAAGGACAGACAGAGAGAGAATCTTAAGTAGGGTCCATGGTCAGCGCAGAGCCTGACACAGGGGCTCAGTCCCATGACTCTAGGATCATGACCTGAGCCGAAACCAAAACTAGGAAACTTAACCGACTGAGCTACCCAAGTGTCCCTTATTATCTCTTTTTAAAGTTTTATTTATTTAAAAATTTAATTTTTATTTAGTTTTGAGAGAGAGAGAAAGAGGGGGGAGGGGCAGAGACACAGAATCTGAAGCAGGCTCCAGGCTCCAAGCTATTAGCACAGAGCCCAATGTGGGGCTTGAACCCATGAACTGTGATACCATGACCTGAGCCAAAGTCATACACTCAACCAACTGAGCCACCTAGGTGCCCCAAGCTTTATTTGTTTAATTAATTTCTACACCCAGCATGGGGCTCAAACTCATGAGTCCAGATCAAGAGTCACATGCCCTCTGACTGAGCCAGCCAAGCGCCCCTACGTATTTATTCTTAAAACAAATTTCAATCATCGTATCTCTAAAAGCCTATTTTTTCCCTTTATAGTTTATTGTCAAGTTGGTTTCCATATAACACCCAGTGCTCCTCCCAACAAGTGCCCTCCTCCATGCCCATCGCCCCCTTCCCTTCTCCTCCAGCCCCATCAGCCCTCAGTTTGTTCTCAGTATTCAAGAGTCTCTCATGGTTTGCCTCTAAAAGTCTATTTAAATACCATCCTCAACATAGTCTTTGGGCCATTTTTCCTCATAGTATGAGTTTGTCTCTTTCTTTTAATATAGCTTCTAAATGGAACGTGGAGGCCGTGAACTTCCAGGAACTGAAGTCAGAGTTAACTGAGGTTCCTGCTTCCCGGATCCTAAAGGAGAGCCCATCTGGCCATCCCAGGAGTGAAGAGGGAGACCCTGGTATAAAATTAAATTTCTTCCCTTTTGTACACACATGGATGGTCTTTATCTGTGACTACTTCTGTGTTCAGAGTTGGTGAACCCAGACCACCAGTAAGCCCTGGCAGAGAGGTGGAAAGGGGGAGAGGAAGACCCCCTCTCTGCTCCCTTTCCAAGGCATGCTGGGTGGAAGTCAGCCTTTCCCTAACGAAGCCCTGATCTCATCACCCATGTGGGGATGGTGGGCTCAACTGAGCTGCAGAGAGTGGAGGCTTGCAGGGTGAGGGGGTAGAGAGAGGGTGAGAGATATGTTTATTTCACCCACTCGATAGCCACATAGAATTACTTTTTTATTAAAAAAGTTTTTTAATGTTTATTTTTGAGAGAGACAGACAGACAGAACATGGGTAGGGGAAGGAGCAGAAAGAGAGGGAGACACAGAATCCGAAGCAGGCTCCAGGCTCTGAGCCATCAGCACAGAGCCCGACACAGGGCTGGAACTCATCAGCCATGAGATCATGACCAGAGCCAGAGTTGGATGCTTAACAGACTGAACCACCCAGGCACCCCAAATTAGTTATTTTTAGTAGATTCTTCATATCTTTATCTTAGGGCCAGATGACAGCACACACCATCTCAGCACATACTCTTGTTACTAAAGATACCTTTTTTGAACTTTGGGTACTGAGAAATTGCCCCTCTCAAAAGTGTTCCCTGAAAGCCTGACTTTAAGGCAAAGACCATGGTTTTCAGAAACTATGACTATCTGTGTTATTGACAATTATTCCAAGCAGAGGAGCATGTGCAGTGGTGGGAAGTTTTGAAATTTTCAAAATATGGTTCCCTGAGACATGAGCAGCAAAGACTTCCCATTTTCTACAAAGACCTTGGGAAAAGTACAGAGATCTGTTGCCTTTATTTCCACTAAATCTAAGTTTTCAACCGTCTATTTGCTACATTTAAATAATTATGTTCAGGTTTTATTGTATTTAAATGGTGCCTGAACTATGTGGTCCATTGGTTAGGGCTTGAACAACTTGGTTTTATAGAGTTTATTGTTATAACTTGATTTTTGTTTCTTTTTTATTTAAAAATTTGGGAGGATTTTTATTTTTGAAGGAGAGACAAAGCATGAGCAGGGGAGGAGCAGAGAGAGAGGGAGACACAGAATCCGAAGCAGGCTCCAGGCTCTGAGCTGTCAGCACAGAGCCTGCTGTGGGGTCGAACTCACGAACCATGAGATCATGGCTTGAACTGAAGTCAGACGCTTAACCGACTGAGCCACCCAGGTGCCCATTGTTTCATTTTTTTAGAATAAAGTAAATCAGATATGAAAGTCATAAACAGTAGTATGATGAATGCCCATGAGTTCCCACCCAGCTTAAATCAAATATCAGAAACACAGTGTGAAACCCTCTGTGCAGCCTTCATCTTTACAACTGATAGGGAGGAGTTCAATTCATACGACATACTGATCACATAATATTTACTGGGCATTTACTCCAAACCAAGTACCCAACATGTATAATCACATTTAAAATTTACAACATCTCTCCTACCCAAAACAATATCCCCTTTTACAAGTGAGAAAGCCAAGGTGGAGGGGGATGAGGGACTTGAAAGTCACAGAGCAAGCAGATAGCAGAGACTGAATTTGAAAGTTTTAAATTTATAATTTATTTTTGAGAAAGACAGAGAGTGTGTAAGCAGGGGAGGGGCAGAGAGAGAATCCCAAGCAGGCTCTGAGATGTCAGCACAGATCCTGACATGGGGCTCGAACTCACAAAACTGAGCCAAAATCGTAAGTTGTATGCCTAACTGACTGAACCCCCCCGGTGCCGTGGAAGAACCTGAATGTAAGCCCAGATGCTCTGTCTCCAGGGTTCTGGCTTTTACCACTTCCACATGGTGGGAAGGTGACTGAAAGGCGTTTTATGTTTTGTTTTGTCTTTAATTCACCAGGATGCGGAGAACTGGTTTGGGTAGGAGAGCCGCGCACCCTGAGAAGAGCTGAAACAATCACGGGCAAGTACGGCGTGTGGATGAGAGACCCAAAGCCCGTCTATCCCTACACGCAGGAGACCACATGGAGAATTGACACCGTGGGCACGGACATCCGCCAGGTATTCGAGTACGACCTCAGCAGCCAGTTCCTGCAGGGCTACCCTTCCAAAGTCCACATGCTACCCAGGCCGCTGGAAAGCACGGGTGCTGTCATATACCAGGGGAGCCTCTACTTCCAGGGTGCTGAGTCCAGAACTGTGATCAGATACGAGCTCAACACCGAGACAATGAAGGCTGAGAAGGAAATCCCTGGGGCAGGCTACCACGGGCAGTTCCCGTATTCCTGGGGTGGCTACACGGACATTGACCTGGCTGTGGACGAGACAGGCCTCTGGGTCATCTACAGCACCCAGGAGGCCAAAGGCGCCATTGTCCTCTCCAAACTGAACCCAGAGAGTCTGGAACTTGGACAAACGTGGGAGACTAACATCCGAAAGCAGTCAGTGGCCAATGCCTTCATCATCTGCGGCCACTTGTACACTGTCAGCAGCTACTCGTCACCCGATGCCACCATCAACTTTGCATATGACACTGTCACAGGGCGCAGCAGGGCCCTGACCATCCCCTTCAAGAACCACTACAAGTACGGCAGCATGGTGGATTATAACCCCCTGGAGAAGAAGCTCTTTGCCTGGGACAACTTCAACATGGTCACCTATGATGTCAGGCTCTCCAAGATGTGAAAAGCCTTCCCCATCAGGAAAGGCAATGGGAAATGATGTGTAGGGATCCTGAGGAGACAGCCAGCTAGCCGAAGCCCACACAGCTTTTCTCTGCTTTCTAAGCTTTCATTCCTAATCCAAAAGAATGTGCATCATCACCACGTCTGTGTGGAAATAGCCACTGGGGGATTTAGATGGTTGCACGATACATATTCTTCTGTCAGGTTTCACAGGGCTGTTGAATCAAAACGGTTCAAGTTTGGTAGTGATCTGAGGCAAAAGCTCTAATGCACAGTAGTCTACAAAGCTTCTTTATAAAAGGCCCTCACTGGCTAAAAGAGGGTATGCTTGGAGAAGGGTTTGCGCAGAACAGCTTACCCTGTGTGGCATCCAGGGTCATTCCCTGCATGTTGCATAGTTCCCATAAGCCACGATACCAAGTGGCACTTCTAGAGGAGGAACCGCTCCTGTGGCCAGCACCGAACATATGCATAGTCGGCTTCTAATGCTTCACGCATTGTCCAGTGGGTGTTACATAACCTTTGCCATGGGAAATAAAGTGACCTTACATGCCATCCTCCTTGAGTTTTGTGGGATATTTCGCTTAGGAGAAGAGTACAGATTCCAACCATCAGATAATTATTTTGGGTTGGGAGCTGTGATTGCTGGATGCTAATGGTGTGTGCGCATGTGTGTGTGTTTACATGCATGCAAGTGTGCGCATGCATGCGTGTGTGCCAGTGTGTGCATGCACGTGTGTGACAGACGCTTGCACCTGGTTTTGAGGTGTCACCCAGGATGACACAGGGCCAACAGTGGAATCCACCCCTCTCCCACACCCCATCTCCTGGGGCTCTTGGTATTTTCCCAAACTATCTTTTTATCTTTCCCCAGCTCACCCTGTCTTCACCCTGGCTCCTGGTTCTTGTTTGCTGTCATGGGCATGAATTTCATAAACCACAACCTCAGGTGAGCAAATCTCATGCCACTAATTTTTAGTAACTGAACTTCATTGCCCTCTTGAGGAGCCATCGTACCTAATGGTAGAACACTCTGTCTTGCCAATTCAGCTTGGGCTCTATCCCACTAGCAGGTTTTCAGTCATTCAGGTTGTCCCTCTTCTTCCTCCAGCTGGCACCTGTGCTCGAGGGAGCCAGGGTACGGGCACTGGGGCGAGGAGGGAGAGGAATCTAGCCAGTTTCTCATCACACCTGCTTTTAGTCACGAGTGCAGGTTCCAGAATTTGCTGCCCACACGCACCTCCAGTTCCAGTCCCAGTGTCCTCCATGTTCTGATGGCCAGCCCCATCAAGTGGCCTGCTTCTAGCTGTTCTGTGTCCCATCAGGAGCTTCCCTGCACTCGCAGAAACTCAGGGTGCTCAGGCCCTTTCTCCTAGATTGAACTGTTTCCCTTTTGCTCTTCTGTGGGTGCAGAGCCACATCTTAGACCTTTGCCACCTACGCAGGATTTACCTGGGAGCAGCAACAAGTCCTTCTGCCTTCTCATGCCCAAATCATGTGGGACACAGAGGCCTGACAGGAACCCTCTAGAATCTAAGCTCTCTTTTTCTCCTCTTTTCCCTCACTTCCCCCGGACTTCATGCAGACTGCAGGAATGCGACAGTCGAACCCTTTATTTATCTTCTCAAATATTGTTCATGGGACCAGACCTCAGCCTTTGGATTTCCAAGAGAGCCAGCTCTTAAAGTCAAAACTTTGACCTTTTTTTAATTAAAAAAAAAAAAAAGTTTATATAAGGGCGCCTGGGTGGCTCAGTTGACTAAGCATCCGACTTTGGCTTAGGTCATGACCTCACAGTTCATGAGCTTGAGCCCCACATCAGCCTCTGTGCTGACAAGCCTAGAGCCTACTTCATATTCTGTCTCCTCACTCTCTGCCTCTCCCCCGCTCACTCTCTATCTCTCTCAAAAATACATAAATATTAATATTTTTTTAATGTCTACTTTTGAGAGATAGAGAGTGTGTGCACACAGGAATGGGGGTGGGTGCAGAGAGAAAGAGAGACAGAGGATCTGAAGCAGGCTCTGCGATGACAGCAGAGAGCCAGATGCGGGGCTGGAACTCATGAACCACTGAGATCATGACTTGAGCCAAAGTCGGACACTTTACCTACTGAGCCACCCAGGTGCCCCCAAACCTTGACTTTAAAGACAATTCCTTCTATCATGAGTTCTAAAGAGTTGTACTTTGGAAAGCAAAACCAAGAATTTAACTTTTCTTCCCCACTGCGAGTCAATCCTCATTGAGGCTATGCATGACATGCACGAAGAGGAAGGAGTGTGAGGTCTCTCCACAGGTGTATTTGTCAGCTCAGGCCACCATAACTAAGGGCCATGGATGGAGGGGCTAAAACAATAGGATTTCTTCTCTCACAGTTCCAGAGGCCAGAAGTCTGAGATCAGCATGTCAGCGGGCCTTGTAGATGCCGCCTTCTCCCTGTATCTCCACATGGCCTTCCTTCTCTGTGTTTCTGTCCTGATCTCCTCTTTTATGAGAACAACAGTCAAATTGGAATAGGACCCACCCCCAATGACCCAATTTTAATGGAATTACCTCTATAAAGCCCTTATCTCCAAAGGTTGTCACATTCTGAGGTCCTAGTGGTTAGAACTTTGACATATCAATTTGGTGCGGGGCACACAAATCAGTCCATCACAACTAGGTATCACCTTGCACTCCACTGACAGCAGACTCTTAAAGACTGGAAAGCCTAGAAGTAGGAATGCATGAACTCATTCACCCTCTGAGCACCTATAGCCGCTGGGTTTTCTAATAAGAAAAGTGGAAGGTGAGGAGATACCTTTGGGTGAGGAGACAGGTGACCCAAAGTCTGCTTGCACAGACCTACACAAGGCTCCTGCTCTTTCCTTCTATCAGCTCCTGCCTCTGGGATGGAAGAAAAGCATGAATGAAGGAGGAACAAAGGGAATAAGGAAAGTCTTTCTTCGCTTCGCTCCCAGGACATTAGACTCCTCCCACATCACTGGTTTCTCCTCCTTCTTTTGCGGGTTCCTCCCTTTAGCCTCTATTAGTTAGGAAACAGAACCAGCAGGAGGTGCAGATACAGGTAGGAAAAGAGATTTAGAATGAGGAATTGGCTCATGCCAACTGTAGAAGCTGAGAAGACCCATGCTGGAGATCCAAAACAGCTGGTAGTGCCTGGGTCCGAAGGCTTGAGGGTTGGGGGGTGGTTGATGGCATAAACCCCAGTGCAGCAGGAGGGAAGACAGATATCTTGCAGGCAAGCAGGAAGCAAATGGGGTGAACTCCTCCTCCTCCAGCTTTTTGCTCTTTTCAGGCCCTGAGTGGATTGGGTGATGCCCACATTCACTGGGGAGGGCAGTCCACTTTATTGAGTCCACTGATCCAAAGGCTAATTTCGAGGCACCTGGGTGGCTCAGTCGGTTGAGCGTCTGACTTCAGCTCAGGTCATGATCTCATGGTTCGTGGGTTTGGGCCCCACATCAGGCTCTGTGCTGACAGTCCAGAGCCTGGAGCCTGTTTCGGATTCTGTGTCTCCCTCCATCTCTGCCCCACTCATGCTGTGTTTCTCTGTCTCAATAATAATAAACATTTAAAAAAAATTTTTTTTTTTTTTTATGTTTTATTTATTTCTAGGAGAGAGAGAGAGAGACAGCATGAGCAGGGGAGGGTCAGAGAGAGAGGGAGTCACAGACTGAAACAGGCTCCAGGCTCTGAGCTGGCAGTCAGCACAGAGCCCGACGCGGGGCTCGAACCCACGAACCGCGAGATCATGACCTAAGCGAAAGTCGGACGCTTAACCGACTAAGCCACCCAGGCGCCCCAAAAAAAATTTTTTTTAAATATTTTTATTTATTTCTAGGAGAGAGAGAGAGAGAGAGAGAGAGACAGCATGAGCAGGGGAGGGTCAGAGAGAGAGAGGGAGACACAGACTCTGAAATAGGCTCCAGGCTCTGAGCTGGCAGTCAGCACAGAGCCCGACGCGGGGCTCGAACTCACGAACCGCGAGATCATGACCTAAGCGAAAGTCGGACGCTTAACCGACTAAGCCACCCAGGCACCCCTAAAAAAATTTTTTAAAGAAAAAAAAAAACCAAAGGCTAATCTCATCTGCAGATACCCTTGTATCACACCCACAAGTTGACACACAAAATTAACCATCAGATAGTCTCAATCTCTTAAGATTGAAGTGCTTCTGGGCTCAATTCATGGTCTCCTTGTTACCTACTCATTCTTCTGGTCTCAGCTAGCATCATGGCTCTAAATGCCACATCTATGCCGATAACCGTACCTGCCCCCTCCCCAATTTAAACCTTTAGCCCAAACCTTACTCCTAAACTCCATATTCATTTATTTAATCACACACTTGATCTCTCCACTTCAATGTCTATTAGGCAGGGGCACCTGGCTGGCTCAGTTGGTGAAGCATGCAACTATTGATCTCGAGGCTGTGAGTTCAAGCCCCACACCGGGTGTAGAGATTACTTAAAATCTCTTGAGTGTAGAGATTAAAAACAAAATCTTTAAAAAATTGTCTACTAGGCATATCAAATCAACAAAAATTGAATTTCTAAGTTTTCCTACCCCACTCCTCTCAGACCTGCCAAATCTATTCTTCTAGGAGCTGGTAGAAATTCCATTCCTCAAATTGCTCAGGTCATCCTTCACTCCTTGCTCTCAAATCCCCACATCCAATCCATTGGAAACTTTTGTTGGTTCCATCTTCAAATATATAACTGCAGAATCTGACTACATTTCTCACACCAACTGCTAATTGTCCAGATTCCCATCACTTTGTTCCTGGATTGCTACACAGCCTGTGAAGTGATTCTGTCCCTTCCTCCCAGACAGCCTACTCACAAAGCAGCCAGAATGACCCCATTAAAATATAAGCCAGATCATGCCTCCTTCCATGGCCTCCCATTTCAAAGTCAAAGTCAGAGTCCTTACAAAGTCCCCCATGACTTTCCCACCACTCTAACTTCACCTTTTACTAATGTCTCTGATTCACTCTACTCCAGCCAGGCTGCCTTGGCCTGACTGCCCTCCCTGAACACTCCAGGAACACTCTGATCTTTAGGCCCTTGCACTTCCGTCTGCCCCTGTCTACACACCTAACTTCCTCATAGTCTTCAGGTCTTTACTCAACTGGCACCTTCCTAATGAGGCCAAACCAGATCCTCTATTTAAAATTGCAACTTGAGGTGCATGGGTGGCTCAGTTGGTTAAGCGTCTGACTTAGGCTCAGGTCATGATCTCACAGTCTGTGGGTTCAAGCCCCGTGTCAGGCTCTCAGCTGTCAGCACAGATTCTGGAGCCTACTTCAGATTCTGTGTCTCCCTCTCCCTCTGCCCCTCCCTCACTCACCTCTCTGTCTCTGTCTCTCAAAATAAAGACATAAAAAAAGTTTTTTTAAATAAAGTAAAATTGCAACTTACCCACTGTTTTCTCTGCTACTTCCAATCTTCCTGACCCTGTCTGATTATTTAAAATTTTTCCTTTCCATTACATTTATCATCTCCTGACATGGTATTGATTTTAAAGATTTTTTAAATTTTATTTTTATTT